CTATTATCTAATGATAATAAACAACTTTCAAAATAATGAACAATCATTAATTTATTTTTCCTAATGATTAAATTTAAAAAATATAATATTTTTATTATCTAAAATTTTAATATTAAATTCTCAAATATTACTTATAGTATTTTATGTACATCTGTGCATGTGCACAGGATATTTACTAGTATTGAGTAAAAATTGACATGATGCAACTTTTCAACAATTAAATTACCGACTAATTTTAATTAATTCTCCATAATATTTACTAGAATTTGGATACTGTATATTTAATAGACTATCTTATCCATGTGATTAAATTAGAATTTAACTATTACTTTTTTGTTCATAGATTATGTGTTCGTAGATCGTATCTTTATGTAGTCAAAATCTATATCTATGTATGTATAAAAAGGTTTGTATTTATATGAAATAGAAATTAAACTACCACTTAAAAATTTTAAAATTACTAAACTTGGTAACTTTTTATGAAATTTTTTAAAAAATTCCAACCTCTAGATATTAATTAATTAATTTATGGTATAAAGTTGACAAAATTAATAAATTCGATTTTGGTATAAAGTGGACGATTTTATTTTAGGTATCCGATGGTCATTTTTATTTTTCGAAGGAAATGTGTTGTTATTAATAAATGTCGGACTTTATGGTATAAAATGGGCGTTATTTTCGTATAAAATGTTCAAATGTAAACGGCATGAATTTTATTTGGTATGGATAAAAGTATATTTGAAAATTTTAAAAACAAAATAAGTGTACGAATTTTATTTGGTATGGGTAATAAAGTTGAATTTTAGGTTGATTGTTATAAAATTAAAGTGATATGATTATCAAATTTTGTCATATACCCATAATAATTTATCATAAGATATGGATGATAATTCGATCAGCGAATTGGTATGTATTCCTCGAAAATCATAAAGATCTTTGAACAAATATTGTTTTAACAAAATTTTAAATTTGTAATTCAATTAAAGAGAATTAGTTGATAAATTTGAATGATACGTTAACCAATAATAAATCTAGAAAAATGTGAGATATATATAAGAGAATTTATTGTGTAGTTCAAATTTGAGTTTCAAATTTAAAAGTCAAATAAGTAATTATTCATAACTTACGAGTCAATATTAACTTAGGCGTAAATGGAATAATCAATTATTTATAATTTAATAAATTACTCAGTTACTTCAATTTTTTTATTTGGATAGTTTATACAATAATTTTTTTAATTAATGAAACAATATAAGTTTTAAAATTATACTTATTAATCACAAAGTTTTTTAAATATATGATAAAATGTTACCAAAATATTTATTTTATGAAATCACTGTTGACGGGCGTTTCCGGTCAACGGTTAAAAAAGTAAATAACTGAGGTGAAGTAAGGAAAAGACAAAGGAAAAGACAAAGAGATGCGGTTTAACTGTGATTTTATTATTAGATCACTGGGTCGGCTCTCGTACGAGATCGGCACTTGTGATATCCTTGCGAATTCTTACAGAGGTTTAGTACAAATTTAGAGAGAGAAAGTATAGAGAGAGTTTGCTAATTGAGGATTCAACAACCCAGAAGTAAATGAGGTGAGCTGCTATTTATAGTGGCTTTAAATGTGGTACTGTTCAAATACTGTTCACCGGTCTTGGCATACAGTACTCTGGCAGAGCAGTTCGGCGTCTTCCTGACAGATATTAAATGTGATTTGAGGTTTTTCTCATCATTGTTTGTCAGACATTTAATGCACACATGGGGGTCATTTAATGCTGCCCAGCTTTATGTCTTGTCTAATGGACGTAGACCTGCAGGCTGTGACACCCTGTCCAATCATCAATGATTACTCTCCAAGTGGCATTATTATACTATTATCGGGCCCCGCGCCGGCTTCTAGGGCAACCGACCTGAGGCTTCAGGTCGGCCCCGAGCTCATTCCATTCTTCTGGCCCTCTGGAACCATACATCAGCCCGTCACCTACTTTAGGTCGGCACCGGTGTTTACGCGACAGAAACGCCAGGATTGCGGATGGACCCGCGGGGATGTCAGGGTCAATTAAGTCCGGAATTCAGATCGACACTTGCACTCGATCGGGTCTCCGGTTCGGCTTTTGGAGTCGGTTCGGCTTTTGGGAGTTACCTTCCGTCCGGTTTCCATTCGGGGTGAACTCGGATGTCAACAATCACATTGTAGTCAAATCAAATTTTCGAATAAAGATTTTAAAATGACACTTATTTTAAAATGAATACAATGTAATTTATTATTAGTTACTTGCACCGTACCGGTTGTATACTAATTTTAAATAGACATGTTTAATGTAATTTTGTAATTTAAATTTCATATAAAGTTTTCAATAAATTAAATTATGTTTTATGTAATTTTGCAATTTAAATTTCATATAATTTTTTTAATAAATAGTAAATTGTATTACATATTGATTCCATACTTTTATTTTATAAGTATTATCCAATGAGCATGTTTAATTTATAAATATTAATGAATATGTCTTACCTGTGCATTGCACGGGATTCGTACTAGTTTAGACTGAGCGTGAAATTATAGATAAATAAAATGGATATTATGCAGTATATACTTACAGCATATTTGATAGCCATGACAGGATAATTGAAATCTTGTATGGAGTGACAAGATTGTACTGTATAGACAAACATGAAACTTTGTTTGGTATCAATGATCATTCCTAAGATAGGATTTCTAAAAAATCACGAGTATAGGTTTGTTTACCAAGACTATGTTTAGGATAAGAAATGAATTGACCAAATTGCCCTATTGTTTTCCTTTTCATTCTTCCCCAAATTGAATATAAAATTAAAAAATCAAGTATAAAATCTACTCTCGATGCACTACCACCTCAGTGAGGCAAACTCATCTTCATATTCATCTTCATTGGTTGCTTTTCTTTAAAAATAAAATAAAATTCAGTGAGGCAAACTCATCTTCATCTTCCTTTGCTTTTATGTTCTTTTTTTTTTTAAAAAAAAAAGGGTCTTCAACTGACCAAGCGAAACGACCGGCGAAATTATTATGGGTTGACATAGCTCGTGACCGTTCGCGAAAATTAGAGTTGTGTAGTCGGAGCACCATCCTTTTGAACAACAAGCATTGATTTTCCTGCAAATTTACATGATAAAAAATATTATGATTTAAGCTGGGAGCAAATAGATAGAAAAATTTCTTAAGAAATGTACAAAACATGTTGAATAAAATGTCCAGGGCAGCTACAATGAAGATGTGGTAAGTGAGATGGCATTTGGTAATTTTCAAATCAACCAAGGTGTTATGGTGAAAAAATTTATAAAAGCAGGGATAGTATTGACTTTGCGCATAAGGGCCACTGTACAGACATATTTAATCACACCCCCACGCAAGATTCATTAATCGTGGAAACGCATGATTATCACCTTTTTGGTCGCGGGCCTGAATTTATCTGGCGGGCCGTAATCGGATGCAACAAACGCAAGATTAAAGCAGATAAAGTGCCTAATCTTATCCAATCTATCATTATATAAAAAGAATAACCTTTTTACAATTTTAGAAATGTTTTCCCGCCAAATACATTAAATGTATCCTATATATAGTAATTGTTGGCAAAAAAAAATCGGATTTTGTTATGATATGGGTAGCTTTTATTTTATCAAGTCTGTTAGCATATTTTTTGTTTTGCATTTTGAAATGAAAATCAGTTTTTATTTTTGGTTTTGATTTTGGAGAAATTCTGACACACGATTCATTTGTAAAGTTTTCGATATTTTTTGGGAAAAGATTTGATTCACACAGTTTACTTAAAAATCTTCATTTAATATTCAGTTTTTATTTTTGGTTTTTCTTTTGGATAAATTCTAAGACACGATTTCTTTTAAATGTTATCTCTCTTTTTTTTTTTGGTAAAGATATGATTTACAGAGTTTGCTTAAAAATCTCAATTTAATATCTTTCCTTTATACTGATAAATACAATATTTTATCACGTCAATACAAATATATCACATTAACTACAAATTATACAAACTAGATCTCTTATGGAACCTAACAAAATAAATTAAAAGATTACACTTTCATTCAATGTATAAAATTACAATGATATGAATCATAAAAAAAATGTTAAAATAAATAGATAATCACAAATCGTAAAATAAATAAATAATCACGAATCCAATATTAACGTAACAATTTTATAATCTTGATTTAATATTTTCATTTCAGTTGATAAACATAATAATTTATCACGTCAATATATATTATCACAAGAACTACAAATTAGACAAACTAAATCACTTATGGAACGTACAAAATAATTTAAAATATTACATTTTCATTTGATGAATAAAATTACTGAAATAATAAACAAGATAATCACAAAATCCATATTCTATGGTAACTGTTTTCTAAAATTGCCATAAAACTAGCATTTTCACGAGATAAACAGTCTTTGATATCTATCACATCAATTTATAATATCCAAAATATTTTATTTCATATTTGATGTTGATGTTAAAAGATATTTGTTGCTCTTAAAAACGAGTATGAGGACAATAAATTTCCTATCACAGCCATACAAAAAAGCACCTGTACGAACATAAAAAAAAAACTACATTCATGACTAAATTTAAAATGTTTATTACTTTTTGATTCATCTCATTCAATTTATAATATTCCACCAAATAATTACAGCCCGTGCATCGCACGGGTTATACGTACTGGTCTGATTTAACAAATGTGCTCTTAATAGACTTAATATATTATATTTTGAAAGTACAACAAAACTGGACTTTAGTACCAGATCTATCTCCAAATAATGAAATATCTATCGATGTAAAAAAATCCAGCAACAAAAAGCAACGCGCAGATTTATTTGCCGAATTTACCCTTCCTATCTCTAAGAAATTTCTCCCACAATCAGGGGTATTTACGTCCATTCATTCAATCACATCCGTGCCCTAAATTTATTTGGGTTTTGTTCTGCTGTTCATTCGATTTGGCAGAAGAATTTCTCATACAAACACTATCTTTCTCATGCGTTGAATTTTTTTGTGAGTTTTATCTTCAAATTTGTTGTTGTTTTCGTTGTTGCTGCTGTTGTTTGATCGAGGATGGGAGTTCCGGCGTTCTACCGGTGGCTGGCGGAGAAGTATCCGATGGTGGTGGTCGATGTGGTCGAGGAGGAGGCCGTGGTCATCGAGGGGGTCAAAATTCCGGTGGACACGAGCAAGCCCAACCCTAACAACCTCGAGTACGATAATCTGTACCTGGACATGAACGGGATTATCCACCCATGCTTCCACCCGGAGGACCGAGTAAGTTCTTGAGGTTGATTCGGCTAATTGGTTCTCTTTCCGAGCAGCCGGCGTTGTGAATTCTGATTGCTTTCTCTGAGTTTGAGCTATGCAGTTTTTTTTGTTTTTTTTGTTTTTTTTAATTATGTCTAAACGTTCGAAAATTGTCGGTTGACTGTACAAGTTTGTCTTATATTTGTTGAGTTTGAAATCTGTGTTTGAGCTGAAGTTGATTATCAATGGAGTCGGGCTTGGATGAGCTATAGTCTAGCTGAATATGAATCGAACTCACTCGAGTAGCTTGAAATTACGAACGTCCGTACTTTTTACCAAATGAATCGAGCTCGATCCAAGCTTTATTTCAGGTCTTATTGACATAAAGAATTGTTCACATTTGGTCCTTATAATAATGAACTGTGCTCAAACAATGTGTGTGTACTAGGTTGGAGCTTGTGGTTGCTCCTTCTCTTTGGAGCATATGATATGTGAAATTGTGAATAGAAGAAGTCTATTATGATGTGCAGTTGGATATACTGTATTTGTCATCAAGGATAAACACCGAAATCAAGCATCGTAGCATCCTACCTTGGATTTGAGATATGAGTTCATTAGAGCCTATAAGTGTTTGTGGGATAAATTATATCTGAACTCACCACTATGCAGTATTTGTAACCTTTTGCTCTGAACTCACAGTGTTACTTGAAATTCGGAAGTCTTATGTGTAGACACTAAGACATGCAATTGCAACTTTATGCGCAAACATTGCGACAACTATAAGCTTCCTTTTAATGTCTTTTACCTTTTTGAAAGTCCTAGTCTCTTTGAATCTCACAAGTCTTTCCTCAAGCCTTGCTACACCATTGATTTATCAGTGCTATCAAATTTCCCACATTGTGGTATGGTGACGCTACTGGCCGCTATGGCGGGATTTCGGCCTTCCGCCATCCACCATTGATAACACTGTGATTTATCCAAATACTAGTCCATTGAAGTTGTTGCCTATATCGATATCCTTCATCTTGAGAATCTCCAAAGCTTATCAATATCATTCTTGAACTATGGGTGTAGCTCTAGTTCAAACAAATTTTTAATTGATGTGAGTAGTGGAACAAGTACACGCCATCCGAATGTTCAAATTTCCTAGTACCCTACAACGTATGTTAGCATTCCAGTCCCATTAACAATATATCAAGTTTATTGATGGTTGATAGGTTTTTACCTTCTCCAATATGTAATTCAATAAATTGCAGGAATACTGGTAATTTTTGGTGTTCATGTTAATCTTTCGCCATAACTTGATGAAGTTCAATTGCTGCTGTTTGAGGATAAGTTCCTAGTGTAGTTTATGTTAAGTTAGGAATAACTAAATGAAAAATGATGAAAGAATAAATGAGAAGTGGAGAAGAGTTCATTGTGGTTCTAAATTATAAAGTTAGGGAAGAGGAATTGTGGTGTACTATTCTTGCTGGGAATGTGAAAAGGTTATATTTTTATTAATTGGTCTAACTTGAATGGGTAAAGTGTTTCAGATGATAAGCTTCAAGCTCTGCACTTGTATTTTAGATATTCTATATTGGCTCAATTTAGTTGATATTTTTATGTTTAATCTATTGTGTTGTAATTTCTTCCCTAAAATGAATCGTACACACATTTATATGTATATCTCGTTATAATTTGGTTGCAAGGTCGGGATAAGAATTCTGTAGGCTTTAAGCTGTTTGAGAGAGTATTGCAGTATCTCTTATCTATTTTTCCATTTCCTTGTAAAGTCTTACAATATACTTAATTTCCAAATGCAGCCTTCTCCAACCACATTTGATGAGGTGTTCCAATGTATCTTTGACTATATAGACAGGCTTTTTGTGATGGTCCGACCAAGGAAACTGCTTTACATGGCTATTGGTGGGTAAAAAGGTTGAAACAATCAGTAGTAAATGGAAGTTGAAGCCAATATAGGTGAACATTAACTCAACGTGGTATTTTTGGCAGATGGTGTGGCCCCAAGGGCTAAGATGAATCAACAGCGGTCAAGGCGTTTCAGGGCAGCCAAAGATGCGGCTGATGCGGTGTGAATCTTGTAATTAGTTTACTGTGGAATAATTATGTGTTAGTTGAGCAATATTGTTTTCTCACATTGCTATAATGTTGTAGGCAGCTGAAGAAGAAAAGTTGCGTGCAGAGTTTGAGAGAGAAGGCAGGAAGCTTCCACCCAAACAAGAATCTCAACTTTTTGATTCTAATGTCATCACTCCTGGAACGCCTTTTATGGCTGTGTTGTCAGTTGCTCTGCAGTACTATATTCACCTTAGAATAAACCATGACCCTGGATGGAAAAATGTCAAGGTATTATTTGATGTGTACTGTGATAATAGAGTGTTTAGGAAGCATAAAGAGTACAATCTTAGTTTTCCTTATATATGTTGTTACTTTGCTTATTAAGTGTAAAGAATATTAGCCTCCGTTTTCTAGATGTGGCTAACTACTGCGTCGCGTTATAAAAATTACTTTGCTTTATGAAGGTTATACTCTCTGATGCAAACGTTCCTGGTGAAGGGGAACACAAAATTATGTCTTACATCCGTCTTCAAAGGAACCTCCCTGGTTATGATCCAAATACCCGTCATTGTCTTTATGGGTTGGTATGTATCATGTTGCATTTCATATTGAAATTTCTTCTTATGTCATATTTTGTGTGTACTCTTTCCCGATTTGGTGACTGTTTTCTGATGCTCCAATGACAGGATGCTGATTTGATCATGCTGGCTCTGGCTACTCACGAAGTTCATTTCTCTATTCTGAGAGAGGTACATGCAGGCTTTGAGTGGCTTAAACATTGCCTAGCAATATATTTTGTGGCTCTTGGCGTCTGTGAATTCAGATCTTTTAGGAAGAGTTACTTATCACCTGTTGAAATGTTTGATTAGCTTGCAATGAAGCAAGGGTTGACAGAATTATTGATATAGTGGATGTGTTCATATATGATTATTGGGTCTGTGGTATTAGTTCTCAACTTTTAATATTCTTCATGATGATGGATGCTTCCTTAATTTTTGGTTTAAGGTTGTATTTACTCCGGGGCAACAAGACAAATGCTTTATTTGTGGTCAAGTTGGTCACCTAGCTGCAGACTGCGAAGGGAAGCCAAAGAGAAAGGCAGGAGAATTTGATGAGAAAGATGCTGAAATTGTGCCTAAAAAGCCCTTTCAGGTACACGCTGAAGAATGTCACTGATACGTGTTTATAAATGTGTCTTAAGATAACTTGTTCATGTTATTGCAGTTCTTGCATATTTGGACTCTCCGTGAATATCTGGATTATGAGATGAGGATTCCTAATCCACCTTTTGAGATCGATTTGGAACGCATAATTGATGATTTTATCTTCATTTGCTTCTTTGTTGGTAATGACTTCTTGCCGCATATGCCTACACTTGAGATTCGTGAGGTGTGTTTTCAGTCTGCCTTTTGCTTATAGTTTTTTGGTTGTCATATTTATTTTATTTTTATATTTCTTCAAGTTTGAATTCCCTAACCAATCTATACTTACTATTGTTTAGTATCAACACACAGCTCAAATTTGTGTTTGCATAAACAGTAATTTTGCTTGATGAAGAGGTCTAACATATAGCTTTTCCAGAGCGAACACAGCATTGATACCATATATTGAATATCTGGAGATTTAACTAAATGTTGATATCAAACTGGAATCATACTGAAATGGCAGTGGAAGCTCTTGAATTTAATGTATGATAAAGCTTATATATATGGATTTAGTTGGAATTGAGGAACTTAATTTGTTGAACTTAGTTAAGGCATTAATTTGGACAATATCAATTATGGTTTGTCAAGTATACACCTTTCGTTACAAAACTATCCAATTTATAGTTGATTATACGATATGATGTCTTGTAGTTCTTAATTGTATATGCTGTGATTGAATATGTTTCACAATGTTTGGTACCGTTACAGTCGTTTCCTACCACAATCTGCCAGTGGACTAAACAGTCTGTTTTATACTTGTGTTCTGGTGAACAGCGTGGTTTGTACATACTGCATTTGTGGTGCTCCATTCCATGAACAGCAACTGTAGAGTATTAATTGTGTTTGTGATTATAATTAACTCAATTCTTTTGGTTAACAGGGTGCAATCAACTTGCTTATGGCTGTTTACAAAAAGGAGTTTCGGGTTTTAGGTGGTTACTTGACAGATGGAAGCAAGGTACGCATAATTTTCTCTGGAGGATGCTTGTTTTTATGCTACCATCTGACTCATTGTTAGTAGTTTTAAATCTGTAGTTTCTTATTTTCTGCTCCTTTCCTTTCTTTTTATTTTGTTTCCAGCCAAATCTGAGCAGGGTGGAACACTTTATTCAAGCTGTGGGATCATTTGAAGATAAAATATTCCAGAAAAGGGCACGGCTACATCAGGTTTATTTTTACCTGTCTTTCTCCGATCCCATTAAATTTTTTCCTAGTGTGTTTATAGTTGTACTTTTGATATTACATTCCATTTTCTTTTAGTGATGTTATATGTTTGAATGCTAATTTGAGCTCAGTATGTTATCTTAGTGTGATGTCTCACAATATCCATCTTAATCAAGTCGCATGTATGGGATTTTATACTCTCCTGGTCTCCCTTTATCCCATTATTCAGTATTCGGTAATATACAAAAATTTCTTGACTTCTTGGTAACTGTAAGAAATCAAGATTATTGTGAAGAATTACTTCTTATGAGCACAAACAAGCTTACGGTGGCTCTGGTTTCATTGTAGAACTTTAATATGTGATAACATATTGGGATTCTAAGTGTAAGTAGATAGTAGTGAGGTCTTGCATCCGTGTTTCTATTTCTGTAGTGAATAAGCCCTTTCCAGAAATTTGGACGCATAAACTCCAACTTTAATTTTCAATACTATAATTCTCTCTTTTTCTATTCAGCATCAGAGGTTCCTGGTGTCAAATTATTGGACTCTCTGTCTGGGATTAGTCGTAAATTAGAGGTTCTTTAAATCTTTCATGTTGGTTTTTGGTGGTTTCTGCTTTTGGTTTCAACTTGCACATGTTGTAAGATCTTGTCTTTACATGTAGTAGGATTTAGCACGGCATATTATTTGTTATGTATCATTTCTGTTTTATTGCATGTGGAACAGTATTATAATTTCTCAATCTTTTCAGAGACAAGCTGAAAGAATAAAGCGTGACAAGTCACAAGCTAAAAGAGGAGATGATTCTGAGCCAGTAAATAGACCTGAATCTCTTGTTCCAGTTGCTCGATTCCATGGTTCTCGCCTTGCTTCTGGTCCTTCGCCTTCTCCCTATCAACACAAGGGTCCTTCAACTTCTCGTAGGCATGATCAACTTGGTCAAGCTACCTCAAGTTTGTCAGTCCTTGACATCAAGTGCAAACAATCTGGAGCAATAAAGGATGAGAAATCCTACATTAGGGCCTCAAAGGTTGCACGGCTTGAAGGTGGAGCCACTATTGGTGCAGCTATTGTTGAAGTTGAAAATGATCTAGAAAATGAGGCATGTTTTCCAACTTCATTAGAGCATTTTCAATGTAGTTTTGGCCTCGTCCAATATTTAGGCTTAATTTTTCTTTTGATCAACTTTCACTGATGCATTTATGCCAAAAAGAACTCCGATTGCATATTTTCTTTATAACTATTATCATCTTTTTCCTCCCTGGTTTCTGTTTTAATTTCGAAATTGTTTACAATGCAGAGTATTATAAAAAGGTTAACTGGTTTATGTATGCTGCCATTCAGGTTGAAAACAAGGAAGAGTTGAAATCAAAGCTTAAGTTGTTGCTCCGTGAGAAGTCCGATGTATTTAATACAGACAATGCAGAAGAAGACAAGGTTTAAGAATTTGCTCCTAATCATTATCTTTTCTTCTTCGTTCAAGTTTTATTCAGTTTTCACCTTTGGATGCGAAAATTTAGAGACTGTGCACATAATTTGTTTGTTTAGGGGTCAAAAGGCAGGAAGTTTTGAACTTATCATGGAACATATATTTGATGAGGAAATTATTATCTTTTCACAAGTTCGTGTTCTTGG